AATTTAAAAATAATAAAAAATATTAATTTTATTTATATAAATATTTAAAAGAGTTAATTATTGTAAGGAAATTATAAAATTACATAAGAGAGTTAAGCCCTTGTTTGGAAGCAAAGATATGGTATTCAGTCTGAGTTTAAGTGGGGCGGCGCCACGTCATGCTTTAATGATTATTTAATATTATAATATGAAAAAGCAGCCAAACAGCAAGTGTATTTTATTTTATTTTATTTTATTTTTCCATTTTTTTTATAAATATTTGTAATTAAAATTCCACAAATAAATAAATAAATAAATAGAAATTTGGTGGAATGTCAGCCTCATGTGCTTGTTTTAACACTGTTGTCCAAACACGCCCCATTCTTTAAAATATTATTTTTGTAATTTTACATTTACTTTATTTTATATTGGTAGTTTTTAAAATATTTATTTTTATTATTTAAGAGATAAAATGGTTAATTTTTAAAAGTATAGAGGCCAAAATATATGGGTTAAATTAATATTTAAAAATTTAAAAGTTTTAGTTTAATGAAAAAATAAAATTATGAATTTGTTTTAAAAAAATATTAATTAAGAGTCAAAATTTTAATTTGATTAGTGGTTTTTTATGTAATAAAACAAAAGATTAGGGACTAACTCATTATATTTTAAAGTTGACAAGGGGTAAAAATGAAATTAATGAAGAAAGTTTCAAGGACCAATAAATAAATTAATTAATTAAAGGTTGAGAATTTTTTTTTTTTTTTAAAAAAAAAAAATTGTATGGGTCCCTAAGTTTTCAGCCTAGTTTTTATTGGGTCGTTAAGTTTCAAATAATTACATTATTTATTCGAGAATTCTGAGTTCAATTTCGTGTTTAATTCGTAGGATTCAAGATACAACAATTTTATACTTGAATTTTGAGCTTATTTTCAATTTGGTCCTTAAATTTTAAGATATTACATTTTTGTTTTCGAGTTTTCACTCAAAATTTAATGTAAATATTTTGAAATCTAGAAACAAAATGGAAATTGGACCAAAAATAATAATAATTTGTTTATTTATTATTATTATTTGTAATGAATTTTTTAAAGTGGGTTTTGAAGTCTTTTTAAATTTTCTTTATTTGTGGAATATTTTTAGTTTAGTGGATAATAATCTCAAAAGAAAGAGAACTAAGATTTGTGTCAAAAGTTAAAATCATGAGATTAAGTCCTTAATGAATGCCTTTAATCAAATGGGAGACTCAACATTCTTTTTCGAAAATAAAGCTACAATCTTAACGATTAATGGGATTTGTAGGGTTAGGAGTCGTGAGTTTGGTTATCTCGACCGAAAAAAATTATTATTTCCATAATTACCCTTTAGGTTATTTATAGGGAATAAATACAAACTAAATGAAAGTTAACCATTGCCATCCAAGTATTGGTCAGGACATTCGTCTATTAATTAAGAGGTAGAAGATTGAGTCTCCTCTCTCCCATTAGGTTATTATTCATGATTTAAAATCTTTAAAAAGAATCTCGTATTAGTAATAAATTAAAGTTTTTTTCTTCTTTTTTTTTCGAGTTCAATATAAAAGAGTAGAAAATTCAACCTTTTGTCTCCTCAAGTGAGAATATGTCTTAACCAATTGAAATATACTCGGGTTGGAAAGCTTCTTAGAAGCTAAACAATCAACAACGTAATCACCTAGTCAACTCTGTATATTGACACAAGCCTTACAAAATTATATGAGAATTCAAGCTTCAAACGTGTGCCAACGAGGATGTTGGGTCTCGAAGGGTGTAAATTGTGAGATCCTACATTAGTTAAAGAGGGGAACAAAACATTTTTTATAAGAGTATCGAAACCTATCCCTAATATACACATTTTAAAATCCTTAAAGGAAACCCGAAACAAAAAACCCAAAGAGGACAATATCGACTAGTGATGAACTTACGTTATTACAATACATATCTTAACTAATTGAAATATATTCAAATTCGCGAGATTCTTAGAAGCTAAGCAATAACTGATAGACTTTTCTTCACAAATCAGAACAGATTCTTCAACTTCAGTGGCAGCTAACAGTTCTGCAAAAAGGCCTAAAAAAAGAGCGCTAAAGTGAAATTCAAGCATCTAATTCTTATTCACATGTATTGATATTCCCTAAAAGTTAGGACATAGCAAATGAATATGGCTTTGGAAGATGCCAAAAACAAGTGAAATAAAGATCATAAAGACCTCTCCACTAGAATTTCTTCGCAACTTTCTAAGTAATCAATAATATAATCTCAAGTCAAAGCATAGGTTGCTTAGTTTTCATAAGTGTAAGATATAAACTTTAGTTTATAAAGCTATTTGCACCGTTACAGGTCAGATGTATGAGAAAGAAACCGTAAATGTCCTTGAATATGTATCCCGTGATTGGAATGAGGCATTGCTATTTTAAAATCCAAAACATAGAGATAGTGAGAGGAAACGGTTGCATATGTGTGAGATCCTATATCGATTAGAGAAGAGAACGAAACATTCATTATAAGGGTGTGGAAATCTCTCCCTAGCAGACACTTTTAAAACCGTGAGGCTGACAACGATATGTAACGAGCCAAAACGAACAATATTCACTAGCGGTGGACTTGAGCTGTTACAAATGGTATCATAGCCAAATACCGGGCGGTGTGCTAACGAGGAAGCTAGGCCCTCAAGGGGTGGATTGTGAGATCCCTTATTGGTTGGAAAAGGGAACGTAACATTCTTTATAAGGGTGTGGAAACCTCTCCCTAACAGACGCATTTTAAAACCGTAATACTGACGGCGATAGGTAACGAGTCAAAGCGGGGTTTGAGTTGTTACATTATGGCTTCCTCCGAGTGGTTAAAGTCTTGACAGCCTTGTTTATGATATGAATCCCATGAACCAGAATTCATGAGAGTCCCTCGTGATTATTTGGATGTATTTTTGTGAGGGGACCATAAGGTTTGAAGAAGGGTTGATTTGCCCAACTGATCAACCGCTATCACCACCAACATATTCATCACGGTCATGAAAAGGAACCCAACTAAAGACATTAACAGAAGATCCCTAGTTGAAAACTTGAGCGAAAAAGATAGATAAAATGACAAGAAACTCACGAAACTCATCCGGTGATGGGTTCTACTCAAATACCAATCATTTGAGAAGGGGATAAAGTGCAAGATCAAGTAGTTAACACAAGCATAGTTTTCAAGATCACAGTTGGGTATAGTTGCATGAATTCTGAGTTAGTTCTATGCATGGATGTGCAATAATGGGACCAAACAAGGATGAACACATTTCCCTGATACACTATCCTTTTTCAGCCTCATAATCCTCTCCTAACAGTGAGTGAGCGTCGCCTAAATTAGTATGAGTTATACAGTTGAGAGATTATGAACTCATCACTTTGCTACTCACAGGGTTTCAAATCAGTACTAAACTATAAATCTAGCTAGTTCTATTTATCTTATGTAATTTAAGTTTTGTTCTTATGGATGTATCTTTCTATAGTTATGGATTTGAACTTTGATTATTTCTATCACAATAAGAAAAAACAAGGAAAATCAAACTGTTTTGCAGAACTTCATAATTATTTCCCTAGCTGCTACAGTTCCACCATGCTTAAAATTCTAAACATAATCATACTAAAGCAAGTTCTGAGAATAATTGTATAGACAACTTGGCTACCAACCAGTGGATAACTCTTCTTCTTGTTCTGATCTCTTTGCCGAAGACTAAGAGAAAAAGCAGGGTAATTAATGCATGAAATTTTTTTGAGTAGTATGGTAGTCCTGTAAGATCCCATATCGATTCGACGGGGGAACAAAACATTCTTTATAAGGGGTGTGAAAATCTCTTCCTAGCAAACACGTTTTAAAAGCCTTGAGGGGAAGCCCAAAAGAGAAAGCCCAAAGAGGACAATATTTACTAATGGTGGGCTTGAGGTGTTACAAATGATATCAGAGGTGGATTGTGATGAGGGTGCGGAAACCTCTCCTTAATAGACACGTTTTAAAAACTTTGAAGGGAAACTCGAAAGGAAAAACCCAAAGAGGACAATATCTGCTAGCGGTGAGATTGAGCTGTTACAAATGGTATCAAAGTCAGACATTGGCCGGTGTGCCCTAAGGGGGTGGATTGTGATGAAGGTGTGGAAACTTCTCCCTAATAGATGCGTTTTAAAAACCTTGAAGGGAAACTTGAAAGGAAAAGCCCAAAGAGAACAATATTTGTTAGCGGTGGGTTTGGACTGTTACAAATACATACTCCTTCCATTCAACATTTGACACGTTACTAAATGACATACGATTTCATTTCATAGACGCCATTTATAATTATATTTTTTTTATGACAAACAAATGATTGGAGGTACGGTAGTACTAGAAATTTTCCCTACATTCAAGAAGCCACCTATCCGTATCGAATAAAGGGCGGGAAATGCAAATGGAAGTTAGATGGAGGGAGAATTGGTCAGCTGTAACTGAGATAGAGTATCTATGAAAGTGAAGGCAGCAGGGCCCTCACCACATGTTAGATAAGAGAAGTATATGTCAGTGGGGACGTGAACAGAGAGAGTTCAGCCAGTAGAATCTTTTTGTGGAGACCTCTCAAACATATGAGTACTCTTTCTGTTCTATTTTGTCTTTTCTTCAATATATCTAAGGCTGTATTAGTTTCAAACAGGCCAAGAAAAACACTGTGAATCGCTTACGCTAAGTTATATATCCTAAAATCATATTTCAGATCCCTCAGAACAAAATATCTTCAAGAACAATGGGCCAGACATACCTTGTAAAGGATCCACTGTGGCTGGCCAGGAGATGGATAGTAAAAAAGAGGAAACTCACTACAAAAGCCCACTCTTTTTGTGGATATGAATGGAGTCCCATTTACAGGCCCAGAGAAAATGGACAGGACAGATAGCAGGCAAAGGATTGTGGGATGGAGTCTCATGTTGGCTAATTTAGGGAATGATTATAGGTTTGCAAGTAAGGAATACATCTCCATTAGTACGAGGCCTTTTGAGGAAGTCCAAAGCAAACCCATGAGAGCTTATGCTCAAAGTGGACAATATCATACCATTGTGAAGATCCGTAATTTCTAATACCACCTTTTGTAAGTAACTTCGTCCCAAGATGAAGCCTAGTCATTGCCGTATCAGTGACACTAGAACCAAGTTTCACTGTTGGGAAAAACATATATTGTCTAACAGATTAGAAGCTAACAATCCCGAGAAGACATCAAACAGAAATACAATTCCAGCGTCCAAATTTCATTATTCTAGAAAAGGATCAAAGGGACAGAGAAAATCATGACTGCTTTAAGGGAAACCTGAAACCATTTCTTTACAAAAAAGAATCAGTTTCAATCGTTTGAAACCAATCATTAAAAGCTCTACCAATTAAATTACCAAGAGATGACAAACCTGAAACCATTTCTTTACAGACAGAAACTCTTTTAATTATTTGGAACCAATTCATTGAAAGCTTGAGCAATCATATTAAACAGGAGAGAACTAAGCTTGTTTCAGATCAAGATGAAGCAGCAAATGAGTTTCTAATTAGAAAACAACACATTCAGGAAACTAACTTGAATTGAGGAAAGAACTGACAGTGATTCCAGAGGCTATCTGCTACAGCCTCAATCATCCTAGAACAATCTTCAAACGTCTTCCCGCACCGATCCAACGCTTCCCACATCTTATCTGTTGGACATATGCAAAAAAGAAAAAAGCATGAGAATCCACAGAGGAATTATTACAAACACATTAAGTGCAGAAAAGAAGAAAACAAACATTTTCCATTTGGGGATGCGGAGGCAGAGGAATACTGAACATAGGGGTTGTCTTTGGCGTCAAGGGGATTGCTCATGCTGTAGATTGCGTCGATTCCGATATGCTGAAATTGTTCATATGTAGCCATACATGATTGTTATAATTAGCTATAATGATCATCTTGATGAACACAATAGTTAAGAAAATAGTGCCCCTTTCCATCTCCTAAATCAAATCAGGGAATTATTTGAAATCATTGTTGCAGTCAAAGGAATCAGGAGAACTGAATTTTTTTTATTTTTCCTGAATTTTCAACATTAATGTTTCTAATCATTCTTAAACTTTTAATTTTTAAATCTTCTACGAAATAAGCAAGAGAGAAAGATCATTCATCCATATGAAAAGATCATCTGTAAGAAACTCTCAAAGTTTACGATTATAATAGGAGAAATGTGTTACCCAAGTCGATTAACCACCAAAGTTGAATATCTTACGAGTATTCAACAACTTGTAGCGTCCAACAAATCACTAGCAAGGAGAACAAGAAAGTGAGCAAGAGAAAGAGAGCGAGGAAAAAGGCAAGAACATTAACAAGAGTGTGAGGAAGCGATAGCACGAGCCCGAGTAAAGCACAAATTTTTAAATCATCCCATACAAAACTGCAAAGGAACCACTGGTTTTTGTTTACACATCCAATAAAGTGCAGCACCTTTTAGAAGAGGAAAGTAATTGCGAAAAGAAAACATGAACATTTTAGTTACAATACATAGGAATGGGATGCAGAGAGGAGGCAGAAACTCAGTTCATCTAGGTTCATCCAAACTAGGCACAGGAATGCTTTAACGCCTCATTTAAACTCTTTAGAGCCCTGCTAAACAATAAAAATCCCAGGAACCAGAATTCATGCCCATCCTTTGTGACTATGTGAATGTCTTTTTCAGAGGTATTGAGAAGATTAGGACATGGGCGTAAAGCTGCCAACTGATTGAGCTCTATCACCACCTACAATCGATAAATACATAAAAGAGATGCCTCAAACTTATAGTCTACAGAAGATTCATTGTCTGGCACTAAAACATTCCCATAGCTAAGACAAGATTCACTTTGTCAACATTCCAATTGGTAGGCATAACCAAACTTTAATCTAAATTCGAGAAATCCTTCTAATTCTAATTCTCATACAACAAAACTACAGCATCCCCAATAGTAATGAGTCAAAAATACCTTGTAATAGACCCACTGTGGCTGGCCAGGAGATGAAGAGTAACAGAGAGGGGATTCACTACAGAAAGCCACTCTTTTTGTGGATATGTAAAGCATCCCATTCACGGGCCCAGAAGGATCTGCCAGATAGCAAGCATACGAGTGCAGGTATTTTTCTCCAGGAATAACACCAAACGTATGCTGAAACAATCTTTGGGATCCTCCTTCAGCAATTACTTTCGTCCCTTGAACAAACCTGGCCTTTGCAGCATCAGTTATGCTAGGACTAACTTTTACTGTTGCATTACATTAATTGCATATCAGGAGCTAATAATTCAACATTCAAGGCATTGTTCAAGACAAAAACAAACAAAATAGAACATTAGCAGCCTCCATACAAAACTGATCCCATGTTACATGTTATTTATCAGTTCCTTCTATCATATCCTTCTATCACATGTATAACAGCCCAAACCCACCGCTCGCAGATATTGTCTACTTTGGGGTTTCCTCTTTGGGCTTCCCCTTAAGGTTTTTAAAACACGACTATAAGGGAGAAGTCTCCACACCCTCGTCACAATCCACCCCCTTGGGAGCCCAGCGTCCTCGCTGGCACACCGCTCAGTGTCTAGCTTTAATACCACTTGTAACAGCCCAAGCCCACCACTAGTAGATATTGTGCTCTTTGGGTTTTCCCTTTCAGACTCCTCAAAGTTTTTAAAACTCTGTTAGGGAGAGGTTTCCAAAGAATGTTTCATTCTCCTCTCCAACCGATATGGGATCTCACAACATGACTCCAACAAATGGAGATATTATCCTTTATTAACGACACAGCCCGTTTTAACATGTTGGGTATCCCCAAGTTCACTTAAAGAAACCTGATCCGGCAGGAAATGTTTCATCATTACAATTGGCTCATCGAAAGCTTCAATAAGTCATAGATATACATATAAAAGCTGGAGATGGAAATTTAAGTAACTGTGCAAATTGAAATGAAATTTGATCGAGGGAAAAACTAACTGTGATGCAAGACGTTTTCGGCAGCTTCCTCTGCCATTTTCCCATAACCTTCCAACATCTTCCCGCAGCGACCCAACACATCCCACATCTTATCTCCTGAACACAACCCAAAACTTTCAAGATTTAAACCCAAAATCACTAGAGAGACAATGATTGAGAGTGGAGTTAAAGAAGGCGAACTTTTCCCAGGTTGGGCAGATGACGAAGCGGTAGAGGTATGTTGAACATAGGGATTATGATTGCCATGTTCAAGGTGATTGCTCATGATGGAGAGGCTTCAGCAAACGATGAGGATCGAAGTCTAACCCGGCTAGGACTTCGTTTGTTAGGGTTTGAGATCGCATTTTATGAAGATAAAAATTAGGGATTAAAGTGGAGGAATCAGAAGGGCGTAAAGATGAAGATGATGAAGAATCTTGAGCAGTGTTCATTCAAAACTGTGGCGATTTCGGCGCTGAAATTTTAAGAATAAAGAGAGAGTTTCTGATTCCAATTCTTCTACCGCGTACCCGCCATTTTCGACCTTCCTCAAGAATTTGCCGCGGGGCATCTATTTTCTTGTATTTATTAATTTATAAAATATTTTTATTAATTTAACTTTTATTTTCTTATAAAATCAATTCATACTCTTATTTATTTATTTATCTTTTGTTATATTATGAGCTAATAATTCTATTAATTTTTTTTTATATTACGAGCCGATAATCCTATTAATTTATATTATAAGGGTAAAACGGACTTTTGACCCAACAACAATTGCAAATAACTCGTGAATGATCGACTTACTTCTAATGATTATATCTGTATATACAACGTGTTACACTGTACAGTGTAACTTTAAATTTATAGTACTGTGATCTGTAGTTAATATATGAAAATTAATAATTAAAACGTTTAATTAATTTATTTTAATATATTGGATATATTAAATATAAAAGAGATCTCTCGTGTCATTGCATAATAACTGTTTAGATACATCACATACATTATTTATTTCACTTTTATGATTTAGAGCGACCGAAACAAATATTCACTCTTTTGTTTAGTGGTCACCATAATCAAACTGTCTTAATTGATCTCACACAAATAGATGCGTTCTTGTTCGGCTCCACGACAGTGTTGTCGAAGCCTATACATTGGCATTTCACTGCCCAATTAGTCGATTTTTTTGGTGTCGATGGCTTGTCAAAAACCAAATTTACAATTCTACGATGGGGTCCTAACCATTTGTTCTTCATGTAAATGTACTTTCGCCATGGTGGCACTGAAAGATTCATGCAATTTAATGATCTCTTTGCAGCGTTGCACATGATCTTTACGATCTTCTTCAACTCATCTGCCGTTCCGATGAAAATTAAAGGTAGGGATTTTAAGAGCTCTCTATATTGGATCGTTGGCCTCGCGATCTCGAACTGTGTGGGAAAGTTCATGTCGATCAAGTACCTTTGTAAGATAAATGAGTTCGTTTTAGTTAATATCATTTTTATTATGCTCAAAATTATTGACGATATTAATACCGGACACTCCCGTTGATGACGTCGATGAACTCGTAGCTGCCGGATGTGAAATCACGAGAGCTTTCCCATTTCGTCTTACAAATCGCTGCATTATAACGAAGCTCATGGAGAAACACCATCAATCTCCGCTGCGAAACAACACTGTCCGACGACGAAGCGGCCGCCAATTCCGCCGCTTCCTGAACATTACCCACAAGCACCGCCCTATACGGCTCGACATTCCCGCCGTTCACACTCACCATTCTCCGAATTTCACCCAATGCCTCCGTACAATCGGCGGCAGCGACGTTGGACAAATCTTCCACCGGCCAACTGCTCGTGCCACCACTGTACTCTTCAAGAAAATCAACCACCATCTCGGAAAGCCATTCGTCGGCCGAGTATTTGCTTTCGCTGCCGGAGCTGGACGGCGGATACTGACGCTGGTCACCACTTCCGATGAGGCGTTGAAGAGCCGACATTATTATTGTTTTATGGATTTGGTTTGGTCGGAGGAATAATTTAAGGAATATGTCGGAATGGACTGAATTTTTGAAGAAAGGAATTGAAAAGGGAATATTCTTTTATTTCTATAAAGAGAGGATATACTAATGGGATAGCATCTAACTCAATCATTCAAATGATTTAAATTACGAGTTTAGTTTCTGAAATGTTCGGGTTTATATAAATTTGGTTAAATTCGATCGAGTTTTTGAAAAATCAAAAAATTCAATTTGGTTTGCAAACTCGAACTTTTTTTGTCCGATCAATCCAACTAACTCGAAAATAGGGTTCATAGTCGGTGTTTGAGATTATTATAAAAATTAAGAATATTTGAGGTTGAAATAATTAAAAAACAAACCATCCGACGTTCCAACCCAACTCAACTCCACTCGAAAATAGAGGCTTTGGGTAAGGTTGAGCTGTGAACCTTATTCAGGTCATTCGGGTCACCAACTCAATCGGCATGAGATTTCAGGTTGGGTTGATGACTCGAGCAACCCGAATAGAGTTCACAACCTAAACCTCTATTTTTGGGTATCGAGTAAAATTTAAATATCAAATATTCACGAGTCACAAAATATCACTAATATCTTACAAAATTCAAATATTTTTAAACTTCGTAATAATCTTAAAAGTAAGATGTGGTTGAGTTGTAACCCAATTTTTGGGTTGATTGGATTGACTCGACAGAAAAATGTTAACTTACAAATCAACGTCAGTTCTAGAATTTTCAAGACTTCAACCCAACCCAAAAAACTTCAATTGATACACCAGGAAATGGGCCAATTCGACTTCATGTACAAGAGAGAGAGAGAGTGCGAGAGAGAGAGAGAGAACGAAACGGTTCGTCTCCCTTCGACAGAGAGCGAGAGAGAACGAAACGGTTCGTCTCCCTTCGATAGAGAGCGAGAGAGAGAGAGAGAGAACGAGACGGTTCGTCACCCTTCGATAGAGAGCGAGAGAGAGAGAGAGAGAACGAGACGGTTCGTCACCCTTCGATAGAGAGCGAGAGAGAGAGAGAGAGAACGAGACGGTTCGTCACCCTTCGATAGAGAGCGAGAGAGAGAGAGAGAGAACGAGACGGTTCGTCACCCTTCGATAGAGAGCGAGAGAGAGAGAGAGAGAACGAGACGGTTCGTCACCCTTCGATAGAGAGCGAGAGAGAGAGAGAGAGAACGAAACGGTTCGTCACCCTTCGACAGAGAGCGAGAGAGAGAGAGAGAGAACGAAACGGTTCGTCACCCTTCGACAGAGAGCGAGAGAGAGAGAGAACGAAACGGTTCGTCACCCTTCGACAGAGAGCGAGAGAGAGAGAGAACGAAACGGTTCGTCACCCTTCGACAGAGAGCGAGAGAGAGAGAGAACGAAACGGTTCTAGGATAAATAGGTGAAATGTAAAATGAAAAAAACTAAAAAATTCGAAATAAAGAGGTGAAACTCGTGATAATGAGGTATATTATTATTAAGTAATACAATGGAGCAAATACATAAATACAATTACCATTAGTTTTGCGATTACATGATCGACAAAAGGTAATCAAATGTGCGGTGGTGGACTACCCGAACCAATTCCTCCACGACAACGCGTAATTGCGTTGCAACCACGATCATCATTTAGGGGAGGGCGGGAAAATCTCTTATGTGTTATTTTAAGGCAAGCCGGAGGAGGCATTGGTTGATTGCAATTCAAAAACTCAATGGATTTACTCTCGTCGTCATCTCCTCGGGCCATCACCACCATACTAATGAAAACTAAGCATACCATCCACAACTTCATCTAAATTTCTAAAAAGAAAATTTATTTTATTTATTTATTTTTGATGAGCTGCAGATGATTTGTATTTTTTTCCATTTCTTTTCCTATTTATATGTTTTTTAAATGATAAATTTAGGAGAAAATTCCTAAATTTAGTAAATAGTTAAATTTAGAGATAATTTTGTGGAGGAAGAGTCACATCTAAAAATGGATAAATTCAACCAATTTTGTTTTTGGTTTTGTGAATTATTAATATTAATGACTAATGCATAGCTCAATGGATATTAAAACTATTTATTTATTAACAAAAAAAAGGATGAGGGGTGTTTATATAGCCCGAGAACCCGACCACCTCAGACTACTTAATCAAGCTCCCTTCTGCCTTTGTACTTGAAGGACGGGTTATTCACATTTCATTTGATGGTCAGAGGCAAATTGAAAGCTAAGTAGTGGCAATTCTACGACTTTCTCGATTAAAGTAACAATAACGTCGCCAATATGAGAATACCGAAAGAAGGAAAGAGATACTCTATGGCATACGCAAGTAGTAGGACACGAGGAACAACCTCGAACGACCTTCGACAAAGGGTACTTGTACATGAAGTCGAATTGGCCCATTTCCTGGTGTATCAATTGAAGTTTTTTGGGTTGGGTTGAAGTCTTGAAAATTCTAGAACTGACGTTGATTTGTAAGTTAACATTTTTTTGTCGAGTCAACCCAATCAACCCGAAAATTGAGTTACAACTCAACCACATCTTACTTTTAAGATTATTACCAAGTTTAAAAATATTTGAATTTTGTAAGATATTAGGGATATTTTGTGACTTGTGAATATTTGATATTTAAATTTTACTCCATTCTAGTTACTCACCTAAGTAGATAAGTAAAGTTTTTTCTAAATAAATTTTTTAAAAAATAACGTGAAAACCCAACCCAAAAATAGAGGTTTAGGTTGTGAACTCTATTCGGGTTGCTCGAGTCATCAACCCAACCTGAAATTTCATGCCGATTGAGTTGGTGACCCGAATGACCTGAATAAGGTTCACAACTCAACCTTACCCAAAGCCTCTATTTTCGAGTGGAGTTGAGTTGGGTTGGAACGTCGGATGGTTTGTTTTTTAATTATTTAAAAAATTACACTTATTCACATGTTACATTAATAACTAAAATTTTATAAAGCTCAAATATTAAACATTTACGAGCCACAAAACATCAACCTCAAATATTCTTAATTTTTATAATAATCTCAAACACCGACTATGAACCCTATTTTCGAGTTAGTTGGATTGATCTGACAAAAAAAGTTCGAGTTTGCAAACCAAATTGAATTTTTCGATTTTTCAAAAACTCGATCGAATTTAACCAAATTTATATAAACCCGAACATTTCAGAAACTAAACTCGTAATTTAAATCATTTGAATGATGGAGTTAGATGCTATCCCATTAGTATATCCTCTCTTTATAGAAATAAAAGAATATTCCCTTTTCAATTCCTTTCTTCAAAAATTCAGTCCATTCCGACATATTCCTTAAATTATTCCTCCGACCAAACCAAATCCATAAAACAATAATAATGTCGGCTCTTCAACGCCTCATCGGAAGTGGTGACCAGCGTCAGTATCCGCCGTCCAGCTCCGGCAGCGAAAGCAAATACTCGGCCGACGAATGGCTTTCCGAGATGGTGGTTGATTTTCTTGAAGAGTACAGTGGTGGCACGAGCAGTTGGCCGGTGGAAGATTTGTCCAACGTCGCTGCCGCCGATTGTACGGAGGCATTGGGTGAAATTCGGAGAATGGTGAGTGTGAACGGCGGGAATGTCGAGCCGTATAGGGCGGTGCTTGTGGGTAATGTTCAGGAAGCGGCGGAATGGGCGGCCGCTTCGTCGTCGGACAGTGTTGTTTCGCAGCGGAGATTGATGGTGTTTCTCCATGAGCTTCGTTATAATGCAGCGATTTGTAAGACGAAATGGGAAAGCTCTCGTGATTTCACATCCGGCAGCTACGAGTTCATCGACGTCATCAACGGGAGTGTCCGGTATTAATATCGTCAATAATTTTGAGCATAATAAAAATGATATTACTAAAACGAACTCATTTATCTTACAAAGGTACTTGATCGACATGAACTTTCCAACACAGTTCGAGATCGCGAGGCCAACGATCCAATATAGAGAGCTCTTAAAATCCCTGCCTTTAATTTTCATCGGAACGACAGATGAGTTGAAGAAGATCGTAAAGATCATGTGCAACGCTGCAAAGAGATCATTAAATTGTATGAATCTTTCAGTCCCACCATGGCGAAAGTACATCTACATGAAGAACAAATGGCTAGGACCCCATCGTAGAATTGTAAATTTGGTTTTTGACAAGCCATCGACACCAAAAAAATCGACTAATTGGGCAGTGAAATGCCAATGTATAGGCTTCGACAACACTGTCGTGGAGCCAAACAAGAATGCATCTATTTGTGTGAGATCAGTTAAGACAGTTTGATTACGGTGACCACTAAACAAAAGTTACACTGTACAGTGTAACACGTTGTATATACAGATATAATCATTAGAAGTAAGTCGATCATTCACGAGTTATTTGCAATTGCTGTTGGGTCAAAAGTCCGTTTTACCCTTATAATATAAATTTAAAGTTACACTGTACAGTGTAACACGTTGTATATACAGATATAATCATTAGAAGTAAGTCGATCATTCACGAGTTATTTGCAATTGTTGTTGGGTCAAAAGTCCGTTTTACCCTTATAATATAAATTTAAAGTTACACTGTACAGTGTAACACGTTGTATATACAGATATAATCATTAGAAGTAAGTCGATCATTCACGAGTTATTTGCAATTGTTGTTGGGTCAAAAGTCCGTTTTACCCTTATAATATAAATTAATAGGATTATCAGCTCGTAATATAAAAAAATTTTAATATAATTATTAGCTCATAATATAACAAAAGATAAATAAATAAATAAGAGTATGAATTGATTTTATAAGAAAATAAAAGTTAAATTAATAAAAATATTTTTAAATATTTTAAAAAATATTTTATAAATTAATAAATACAAGAAAATAGAAGCCCCGCGGCAAATTCTTGAGGAAGGTCGAAAATGGCGGGTACGCGGCTGCTCTTCACTGAGAAGAATTGGAATCAGAAACTCTCTCTTTATTCTTAAAATTTCAGCGCCGAAATCGCCACAGTTTTGAATGAACACTGCTCAAGATTCTTCATCATCTTCATCTTTACGCCCTTCTGATTCCTCCACTTTAATCCCTAATTTTTATCTTCATAAAATGCGATCTCAAACCCTAACAAACGAAGTCCTAGTCGGGTTAGACTTCGATCCTCATCGTTTGCTGAAGCCTCTCCATCATGAGCAATCACCTTGAACATGGCAATCATAATCCCTATGTTCAACATACCTCTACCGCTTCGTCGTCTGCCCAACCTGGGAAAAGTTCGCCTTCTTTAACTCCACTCTCAATCATTGTCTCTCTAGTGATTTAGGGTTTAAATCTTGAAAGTTTTGGGTTGTGTTCAGGAGATAAGATGTGGGATGTGTTGGGTCGCTGCGGGAAGATGTTGGAAGGTTATGGGAAAATGGCAGAGGAAGCTGCCGAAAACGTCTTGCATCACAGTTAGTTTTTCCCTCGATCAAATTTCATTTCAATTTGCACAGTTACTTAAATTTCCATCTCCAGCTTTTATATGTATATCTATGACTTATTGAAGCTTTCGATGAGCCAATTGTAATGATGAAACATTTCCTGCCGGATCAGGTTTCTTTAAGTGAACTTGGGGATACCCAACATGTTAAAACGGGCTGTGTCGTTAATAAAGGATAATATCTCCATTTGTTGGAGTCATGTTGTGAGATCCCATATCGGTTGGAGAGGAGAATGAAACATTCTTTGGAAACCTCTCCCTAACAGAGTTTTAAAAACTTTGAGGAGTCTGAAAGGGAAAACCCAAAGAGCACAATATCTACTAGTGGTGGGCTTGGGCTGTTACAAGTGGTATTAAAGCTAGACACTGAGCGGTGTGCCAGCGAGGACGCTGGGCTCCCAAGGGGGTGGATTGTGACGAGGGTGTGGAGACTTCTCCCTTATAGTCGTGTTTTAAAAACCTTAAGGGGAAGCCCAAAGAGGAAACCCCAAAGTAGACAATATCTGCGAGCGGTGGGTTTGGGCTGTTATACATGTGATAGAAGGATATGATAGAAGGAACTGATAAATAACATGTAACATGGGATCAGTTTTGTATGGAGGCTGCTAATGTTCTATTTTGTTTGTTTTTGTCTTGAACAATGCCTTGAATGTTGAATTATTAGCTCCTGATATGCAATTAATGTAATGCAACAGTAAAAGTTAGTCCTAGCATAACTGATGCTGCAAAGGCCAGGTTTGTTCAAGGGACGAAAGTAATTGCTGAAGGAGGATCCCAAAGATTGTTTCAGCATACGTTTGGTGTTATTCCTGGAGAAAAATACCTGCACTCGTATGCTTGCTATCTGGCAGATCCTTCTGGGCCCGTGAATGGGATGCTTTACATATCCACAAAAAGAGTGGCTTTCTGTAGTGAATCCCCTCTCTGTTACTCTTCATCTCCTGGCCAGCCACAGTGGGTCTATTACAAGGTATTTTTGACTCATTACTATTGGGGATGCTGTAGTTTTGTTGTATGAGAATTAGAATTAGAAGGATTTCTCGAATTTAGATTAAAGTTTGGTTATGCCTACCAATTGGAATGTTGACAAAGTGAATCTTGTCTTAGCTATGGGAATGTTTTAGTGCCAGACAATGAATGTTCTGTAGACTATAAGTTTGAGGCATCTCTTTTATGTATTTATCGATTGTAGGTGGTGATAGAGCTCAATCAGTTGGCAGCTTTATGCCCATGTCCTAATCTTCTCAATACCTCTGAAAAAGACATTCACATAGTTACAGAGAGCGAAATGGTTCGTCTCCCTTCGATAGAGAGTGAAACCTCGAGAGAGAGCGAAACGGTTCGTCTCCCTTCGATAGAGAGCGAAACCTCGAGAGAGACAGCGAAACGGTTCGTCTCCCTTCGAGAGAGAGCGAGAGAGAGAGAGAGAGCGAAACGGTTCGTCTCCCTTCGAGAGAGAGCGAGAGAGAGAGAGAGCGAAACGGTTCGTCTCCCTTCGAGAGAGAGAGAGAGCGAAACGGTTCGTCTCCCTTCAAGAGAGAGCAAGAGAGAGAGAGAGAGAGCGAAACGGTTCGTCTCCCTTCGACAGAGTGCGAGAGAGAGAGGGAGAGCGAAACGGTTCGTCTCCCTTCGACAGAGAGCGAGAGAGAGAGAGAGAGCGAAACGGTTCGTCTCCCCTCGACAGAGAGCGAGAGAGAGAGAGAGAGAGCGAAACGGTTCGTCTCCCCTCGACGGAGAGCGAGAGAGAGAGAGAGAGCGAAACGGTTCGTCTCCCTTCGACAGAGAGCGAGAGAGAGAGAGAGAGAGAGCGAAACGGTTCGTAGAGAGCGAAACGGTTCGTCTCCCTTTGACAGAGAGCGAGAGAGAGAGAGAGCGAAACGGTCTGTCTCCCTTCGACAGAGAGCGAGAGAGAGAGAGAGCGAAACGGTCCGTCTCCCTTCGACAGAGAGCGAGAGAGAGAGAGAGCGAAACGGTCCGTCTCCCTTCGACAGGGAGCGAGAGAGAGAGAGAGCGAAACGGTCCGTCTCCCTTCGACAGGGAGCGAGAGAGAGAGAGAGCGAAACGGTCCGTCTCCCTTCGACAGGGAGCGAGAGAGAGAGAGAGCAAAACGGTCCGTCTCCCTTCGACAGAGTGCGAGAGAGAGAGGGAGAGCGAAACGGTTCGTCTCCCTTCGACAGAGAGCGAGAGAGAGAGAGAGAGCGAAACGGTTCGTCTCCCTTCGACAGAGAGCGAGAGAGAGAGAGAGAGCGAAACGGTTCGTCTCCCCTCGACAGAGAGCGAGAGAGAGAGAGAGAGAGAGAGCGAAACGGTTCGTCTCCCCTCGACGGAGAGCGAGAGAGAGAGAGAGAGCGAAACGGTTCGTCTCCCTTCGACAGGGAGCGAGAGAGAGAGAGCGAAACGGTCCGTCTCCCTTCGACAGGGAGCGAGAGAGAGAGAGAGCGAAACGGTCCGTCTCCCTTCGACAGGGAGCGAGAGAGAGAGAGAGAGAGAGAGAACGAAACGGTTCGTCTCCCTTCGACAGGGAGCGAGAGAGAGAGAGAGAGAGAGAGAACGAAACGGTTCGTCTCCCTTCGACAGAGAGCGAGAGAGAGAGAGAGAACGAAACGGTTCGTCTCCCTTCGACAGAGTGCGAGAGAGAGAGAGAACGAAACGGTTCTTCGACAGAGAGCGAGAGAGAGAGAGAGAGCGAAACGGTTCGTCTCCCTTCGACAGAGAGCGAGAGAGAGAGAGAGAGAGCGAAACGGTTCGTCTCCCTTCGACAGAGAGCGAGAGAGAGAGAGAGAGAGAGCGAAACGGTTCGTCTCCTCTCGACAGAGAGCGAGAGAGAGAGAGAGAGCGAAACGGTTTGTCTCCCCTTGACGGAGAGCGAGAGAGAGAGAGAGAGCGAAACGGTTCGTAGAGAGCGAAACGGTCGGTTCGTCTCCCTTCGACAGAGAGTGAGAGAGAGAGAGAGAGCGAAACGGTTCGTCTCCCCTCGACAGAGAGCGAGAGAGAGAGAGAGCGAAACGGTTCGTCTCCCTTCGACAGAGAGCGAGAGAGAGAGAGAGACCGAAACGGTTCGTCGAGCGAGAGAGAGAGAGAGAGACCGAAACGGTTCGTCGAGCGAGAGAGAGAGAGAGAGACCGAAACGGTTCGTCTCCCTTCGACAGAGAGCGAGAGAGAGAGAGAGAACGAAACGGTTCGTCTCCCTTCGACAGAGAGCGAGAGAGAGAGAGAGACCGAAACGGTTCGTCTCCCTTCGACAGAGAGCGAGAGAGAGAGAGAGAACGAAACGGTTCGTCTCCCTTCGACAGAGAGCGAGAGAGAGAGAGAGAACGAAACGGTTCGTCTCCCTTCGACAGAGAGCGAGAGAGAGAGAGAGAACGAAACGGTTCGTCTCCCTTCGACAGAGAGCGAGAGAGAACGAAACGGTTCGTCTCCCCTCGACGGAGAGCGAGAGAGAGAGAGAGACCGAAACGGTTCGTCTCCCCTCGACGGAGAGCGAGAGAGAGAGAGAGACCGAAACGGTTCGTCTCCCTTGGACAGAGAGCGAGAGAGAGAGAGAGACCGAAACGGTTCGTCTCCCTTCGACAGAGAGCGAGAGAGAGAGAGAGAACGAAACGGTTCGTCTCCCTTTGACAGAGAGCGAGAGAGAGAGAGAACGAAACGGTTCGTCTCCCTTCGACAGAGAGCGAGAGAGAGAGAACGAAACGGTTCGTCTCCCTTCGACAGAGAGCGAGAGAGAGAGAACGAAACGGTTCGTCTCCCTTCGACAGAGAGCGAGAGAGAGAGAACGAAACGGTTCGTCTCCCTTCGACAGAGAGCGAGAGAGAGAGAACGAAACGGTTCGTCAACCTTCGACAGAGAGCGAGAGAGAGAGAACGAAACGGTTCGTCACCCTTCGACAGAGAGCGAGAGAGGAGAACGAAACGGTTCGTCACCCTTCGACAGAGAGCGAGAGAGAGAGAACGAAACGATTCGTCACCCTTCGACAGAGAGCGAGAGAGAGAGAGAACGAAACGATTCGTCACCCTTCGACAGAGAGCGAGAGAGAGAGAGAACGAAACGGTTCTAGGATAAATAGGTGAAATGTAAAATGAAAAAAACTAAAAAATTCGAAATAAAGAGGTGAAACTCGTGATAATGAGGTATATTATTATTAAGTAATACAATGGAGCAAATACATAAATACAATTACCATTAGTTTTGCGATTACATGATCGACAAAAGGTAATCAAATGTGCGGTGGTGGACTACCCGAACCAATTCCTCCACGACAACGCGTAATTGCGTTGCAACCACGATCATCATTTAGGGGAGGGCGGGAAAATCTCTTATGTGTTATTTTAAGGCAAGCCGGAGGAGGCATTGGTTGATTGCAATTCAAAAACTCAATGGATTTACTCTCGTCGTCATCTCCTCGGGCCATCACCACCATACTAATGAAAACTAAGCATACCATCCACAACTTCATCTAAATTTCTAAAAAGAAAATTTATTTTATTTATTTATTTTTGATGAGCTGCAGATGATTTGTATTTTTTTCCATTTCTTTTCCTATTTATATGTTTTTTAAATGATAAATTTAGGAGAAAATTCCTAAATTTAGTAAATAGTTAAATTTAGAGATAATTTTGTGGAGGAAGAGTCACATCTAAAAATGGATAAATTCAACCAATTTTGTTTTTGGTTTTGTGAATTATTAATATTAATGACTAATGCATAGCTCAATGGATATTAAAACTATTTATTTATTAACAAAAAAAAGGATGAGGGGTGTTTATATAGCCCGAGAACCCGACCACCTCAGACTACTTAATCAAGCTCCCTTCTGCCTTTGTACTTGAAGGACGGGTTATTCACATTTCATTTGATGGTCAGAGGCAAATTGAAAGCTAAGTAGTGGCAATTCTACGACTTTCTCGATTAAAGTAACAATAACGTCGCCAATATGAGAATACCGAAAGAAGGAAAGAGATACTCTATGGCATACGCAAGTAGTAGGACACGAGGAACAACCTCGAACGACCTTCGACAAAGGGTACTTGTACATGAAGTCGAATTGGCCCATTTCCTGGTGTATCAATTGAAGTTTTTTGGGTTGGGTTGAAGTCTTGAAAATTCTAGAACTGACGTTGATTTGTAAGTTAACATTTTTTTGTCGAGTCAACCCAATCAACCC